CTTTTGAAAGCAGCAATCTCCTGGGAAGAATCTGAGGTTAGCACAACAGGTGGTGTGTGTGACAGTTTGGGCCCAGCCACTGAATGCCTGTCCCTACACTGTGCCTCCAGATTCCTTTACCTTCCAACATGGAAGTTTTATGATTACATTTTAGAAATGTATAAGTTAGAGAACCTTGTATCTAAGGATGGATATGCCGCAGATGCAACCATATTTCTTCACACAACATATCATAAAAAGTCTAAAAGGCTGACAGACAAGGTTAATCTACAATATTGTATCTTCTATGCTCACCAACAACTTTTGGATCACTGTAACTCCTGAGTACTTTGCCCTAGTTTAATGACTCATGGATTATAAAAGATGTAACACACACAGTTATTCACCTGATGCTTATTTGTATATCCAATGACATGACCCTCTGAGCACCTTTCACCATAATGCTGATCTCACCAAAGGTTCAGCTCACATTAACTGGCATTTGGTTTTATTGGGCTGCATAGCTCTTGACGCCTTCCTCCCTCCTAATCCTTTGGCAAACACCACTGTCCTGGGTGCTGACACAGCGCAGCACTTAGCTTCTGCTTCCTTGGAGGGCTCCCTGCAGGACCTCAGATGAGGGCAAGAAAAGGCAATGCAAGCCCCATAAAGCAAGCGCCGTCCTTCAGTCTGAATCCTTTTATCTTTCCTTTTTTTCATTTGTGCTAACGACTTGAAGCCAGGCCTTGCCCATGCTAAGCACAAGCTCTACCCGTGAGCTGAGCCCCCAGCCCCAGTCAGTGCTTCTTACACAGTTTCCTTTCTTTGGAGAAGTCTCCTGGCTGTTTCAACTTCACCTTTAGCCTCTGAGTTTTGTCCACATGCCTGGTAAACTTTAATCTCCTCAGGTTTTTTTCTCCAAATTTCCTGGAGAGTATGATTCCAGTTCTGAGAAAAAAGGTCACTTCTGAGGAGGAGGGAGTTAGGTGCACGCAGGCTGTCATCCTAATTAGTTCCCAGGCTGGGCTAATTAGTTCAGCTGACTGCTTGAAAGAAACACCAGAGCGAGTTTTAAAAGGGGGAACGAGGTGGCTTCTACACTGTGAAGTGCTGCACACATCAGAGAGGAAACCAAGACAGGGTGCTGTGGAAATGGTTAAAAAAAAAAAAAGAGGAAGAAGATGATGCAGGAGGAGGAAGAAGGAGAGTGAGAGGAGGAAAAGAGAATCTAGATCATTCTCTACACAGAATCCACAAATAAGACACACCTAAAGGAACTAATGAATTTGAGAACTATAACAAGAACTTCTGGGCTAAGAGGAGGTGAGGAAAATGGCTACAAAGCATCAGGATTAAGAGACAAATGTGGGGCTGGGGCCATAGTTCAGTGGTAGAGTGCCTGCCTAGCATGCATGAGGCACTGAGTTCAATCCCCAGCACCACATAAAAATAAAGGCATTCTGTCCATTTACAACTACAAAAAAAAAAAAAAAAAAAGACAAATGTGCTCTTAAAAAGGCTTTGAATAGAATCAACAAAAAACAAGTTATTTTGGCTAATTATCCAGTAGGGACAGTGGCTTTTTGTTTTACAGATGGGAAAATAAAACCTTTAGAGAGAAAGTGACTTGAATATTATCATACAGAAATAGGACCCCACTGTTCCGACTCTCAATTCCCTTTGCACCAAAATTCAAATGACATTCCATCTTTTATGTTCTATTGTTCTCCAAACTCAACCCTCTAGGATGTGGAAACTTTGATGCTGTTGGAAATTGCTTCTATCAGTCTAATGCCAACTTCTGTGCTAGGAGAAGTCTGAAGTTCAACCCCAAAACACAGGGCTTGGCATGGTCCAAAGCTCATTACAACTTCTCATTAGCTCTGTCTCCTGGGGCAGCTAAGGCATTCCTGAGTGTGACTCAGGACCACCAGTCAGAACTGGGGTTCCTGATGAATCTGAACTGAGCAGGATAAAGGCAATAATAAGGTCCAAGCAAATGAAGCAATACATTTTGCAAGAAGTAAAAAATTACATGAAAATTTCTTGAAACACCATCTTGGTATTAAACATAATAATACCTAAAACTTATTCAACACACATTATGTGCCAGGCACTATATTTGTACTTGACATTCATTAATTCATTTATTTTTCTTAAGATCCAATGAAGTACGTACTATTATTATTTCAATTTTAAAATAGGAAACTAAGCCACAGAGATATTAACTAACTTGTTATGCTGGCTAGAAACAAGAATCACTCTAGAACAGGAAGACTATGTCAACTGAGACTCAGTATCCTGATTTTCAGAGCCATGAAAAGTTTCTCTAGATTAAAAATCACTTCACTGATCCAAATAACAAATGGAGTTCACTTCATAGTAATGTATCAATGATAGTTTCATAGGATGAAATGTCTCAGGGCGATGCAAGACATCAACAATGGGAAAAGTTGGGGGAGGGGCGCCTGGGAATCTACTGTTCTTATAACTTTCCTATAAATGTAAAATTAATGCAAATTTATTTAAAAAGCTTTTATTTGGATATTTCATAAAGGGAGTTTTTCACTGAGTCAGTTCAGATAGAAAACTATTCTTTTTTTCCCCTGAAAGTCAAAAAATATTTGAAAATATCTGTGGGGACTTGGTGAACACTTTACATTTAAGAGAGAGGACATTAAGGTCTCCGTTGGAGCTAACTGTGCTGGAGTTTTAAAGGCAAATTGGAAACTATTTCCTGGAACACCGCCTCACAGCATGCCTTTTGATACTTGGATTATATTTCTTAAATTCTGAAGAAATCTTTGCTTTTTCCCCCCTTCTGTGCATTTTTGATGCTGAGCTGTTTCCGGTTTTCCCACACTCCTGCCTGTCACAGAGAAGAAACCACAAAAATGCAGAAAAGCAAAGTTTGTCCAAAGAGCTGCGATTTCACCTCGGGAGGCTGAAGAGCTCTCCTGTGAGTGGGGGCGGGGGTGGGGGGCTGGAGGCAGGGACAGTGCCTTCAGAGGCAGCCATGCCTAAGCCTCCTCTTCACAGCAGGCCAGCTAGCCACATGGGCCACTTGGGGCAGTGGCAACGAAGAGAGGATGCACTGAGAGCAACCAACTGGCAGATTCAACATGCACTTCTGAACCACTGCTTTAGCTGTGGCTCTGGGACCTGCAGGGCAGAGGGTGCCTTTAGCATGCAGCGGATGGTGACGACACTCTGGGTTCTCAGGTGAGCCAGGCCTTGCACTACTACTTACACGTATAAGGTTTTTACCAACTCACCTAGGAAGCAGATACTCTTATTGTCCCATTTTTATTAGTGGAAAAACTGAGGCCAAAACATTAAGTATCTTGCCAAAGATGTCAAATCAGTCAAGTGTGGAGTGGGGAAGGGAGCCAGGCTGTCTGCCCCTGCAGGCTGCACCCTTGAGGACTTTAGTCTTCTTTCTAGGTTGAGAGGACACGCAGCTTCCTTTCTGTCTTGACACTGGCATTCAACCACAAACTGCGGCCTCCCTACTGCCCTTTGCTACTGCTTCAGAGAGTTCTGCAGTCTTTAAAATGCAAGTTATTCCTAGGACAGGGCTTGGTACTTAGCAGGCGCTGAGTAAATATTTGTTGGATAAATGAATAATGGCAGCAATATGATTAAACAGCCGCAAAAGATTGTTTTCAATTCAAATCCAGAATTTGATTCACCCTCCAAAGAGGAAAAACAGTAACACATTTTTTCTTTGTCCCAGGATTCTTTCCTACAACTAAAATTGAGCTTGTGGAGGACAAATGAACAGGAGCATTAATGAGAGCAAGAGAAAAGCACCACAACCTCAAGGTGTTCAGATGGTGAGAAATGCTAGTCCCTTCCAAGTATCTTTGAGAAGTCTCCTAGTGTTATGAACATGTGGGCTAGAACCAACGCCATGTACCTGTCTGCTTCCCCAGATGAAGAAGGGTTGGAGGTGGAATGAAGGATGATGATGACCTACAACAATTTAATTCAGGCATGGAAATTTTTTTTTTTTTGTTGTGTAAAATGGTAGAAGAACATACAAGGTACTAGAAATATTGTCGCTACTCAGTTTGTTGAATAATGCCAGTGAAATCTCAATCCTTCGTCTTCCCATTCAAATGCTCAAACATGAACAAACAAGTGGCGGGGGGGGGGGGGGGAAGGCATTGGCTTTTTTTTTTTTTTTAAATAAAAAAAAATTTTTGGTACCAGGGATTGAACTCAGGGGCACTTGACCACTGAGCCACATCCTCAGGCCAATTTTGTAGTTTATTTAGTGTCAGGGTCTCACTGAGTTGCATAGCATCTTGCTGTTGCTGAGGCTGGTTTTGAACTTGCAGTCCTCCTGTCTCAGCCTCCTGAGCCACTGGGATTACAGGCATGTGCCACTGAACCCAGTAGGCGTTGATTTTTTTTTTATGAAATTGAAATATGATATGATTGACTAGAATGACTAGGAGAAGATGCAACAAGGAAGAAGTTTTCATTTCCTTTCTCCAAGCCCACAGTTCAGGACTCTTACCTGGGGCACTGACTATAGCTCCTGCCAGAGGCCAGTAGAGTTGGTTGGCAATGATCTTGAACTGTATAGGGAGCTCTCACCACAATCACCCAGGGAGGCTAAAAAATCAGGGGCTACTCCTCTCAGCCAGGGCACAGCCCAGCCATTGGCATGCTTTAATTATTTGTACCTAGTCTTTACTCTCCATCGGGTGTTCTTGTGACCCCCACCATTGAGAATTGAGCCCAGGGTGCTTTGCCACTGAGCTATATTACCTACACCCTTTTTTTTTTTTTTTTTAATTTTCAGACAAGGTCTTAATAAATTGCCAAGGGTGGCCTTGAACTTGGAATCCTCTTGCATCCGCCCCTAGAGCTGCTAGGATTATAGATGTGGGCCACCACACCCAGCTGGTATTCTTGTTCAATACCTTATGGAAGGTTCCAGAGGTTAAAAGTACAATTAGCTTAAAATTGACATAACTTAGAAGAAACTGAAAAGTTTACAGTGAACTTACTTTGAAGCCCTCTGGGATGTGGCCTTTCTGAGCACTTGTTTATGATTAGATGGGGGTTTGGGGACCAGGGAGGAGGAAGAACTTGGAGGTGGCACCACTTTTTGTGGCAGAGTGGTTGGCTTCTGGCCACTAGCTGCGGCACTTGAAATTCTGCAGCCTGCACCATTATTCATTGTCCATAAATTGGAGTTAGGTAGTGTCTGGCTGCCAAAGATCGCCTACAAGAAAAAGAAAAAAAAAATGATCGATGGAGATCCCTTTCCCCCGCCACTTGCTGCATATAACTGCTGTAATCCTGAAGGAGGGCAAAGAGAAAAGGGAAATTGTTAAGTAATTTTTGAGGACAAACTTCCTCAGGGCTGTCAGTGCAGGTCCAGGTTCAGACAAGAGGAGTCTCCTGAAGCAGAGCTGAGGTGCTCTTGGGAGCACCAGGGCTAGGAATCCGGGCACCCAGTACGAGGTGTTGGTCCCTATTCCAGATAATTCTACTGAAAAGCATTGGGTCTCTCATCTTGGCTTCCTTCATTGTTACGGTCAACAGATTTTTGAACGAATGTCTCCTGCTGAGGACCGAGTGCTAGAATTTCGATTCCAGCCTCCTCAGAACTCTGAAGGTTCCCGTGTTGGAGGAGAGGGAAGAAGCCCGTGTAGCCATGAGCGACCAGAGTGCAGAGATGAGGCCCACAGCCAGACCACGCAGGGCTTTGAGGGCTATTTTTAGAATTTTAGCACAGTAACACCCTGTTGACCTAAGGATTAACACAAGATTTTTACATTTGAAAATGCTTTCAAAGTTAAAATTACGACATGAATACAATTCAATTCGCATCTGGTATTCAACAGGAGGGTGTTTTTGCTGGAGGGGAGGCCTATAAAGACCTGAAAACACTTCTAGACATCACAGATGTCCGCAGGATGCGCAAGTATACTTTCTTCAAGTAGGTGTTTAAAGAATTCTTACAACTTATTGACCTCATTAGAAATATTTTTTTTGGTGTGTGTCATAAGTTTTGTTATTGGTCCTTCAATACTATTTTTTTTTCCTTCAATACTATTAATACTACCATCAATACACATGAATTACAAAAACTTTTAATGTGAAGTCATAGTAAGAGAAAAATAATGTAATTGACAAAATACATGGCACTTTTTATTCATTTATTTTTTTTGGGGGGTGTACTGGGAATTAAAGTTGGAGGCACTCAACCACTGAGGCACATCCCCAGCCCTATTTTGTATTTTATTTAGAGATGGTCTCACTGAGTTACTTTGGGCCTCACCATTGCTGAGGCTGGCTTTGAACTAAGGATCTTCCTGTCTCAGCCTCCCCAGCTGCTGGGATTACAGGCATGTGCCACCACGCCAGGCCTACACAGCACTTTTGTGGAAAAAAAAATCCTAAAATTCCCATTGAGCTGTAGATACAACATGAAAAGAGAGATGGGAGAAGTCACTTTGGCATGGCCAAGCTTGATGGAAAATGACAAGATGATCTTAGGACACATTCACCTTCCAGACAAACCTCACCCATATTATTTTTGACCTTTATGAATTTTGTTAAAAATTCAGATTTAAAAGATGAGCTGGGTAGCTTTAGAAACATGTCAACAACCCTTCTCTGCTCATGCCTTGGGAGTCCCACTTCTGGGAAATGAGTTCAAAAGCCTGGCCTGGCAGGTCAGAGTGGTCTTGCATGCAGTGAATGTGTTTGACTGAAACACTTGACTCAGATCAAAGAGGTTTCAGAGGGAGAGGATCTGAACATTTTCAAACTGATCAATTGGACTGATGTGCCTTTACAAACTGACCCAACGAAGAGAAAAAAGGAAGACTCAAGGCCATGGGCCAGACCAGGAGGGCAGTGCTATCACATGTGTGTCCACGAGAAGCCCTCCCATGGTGCCCTCCCACGGGGCCAGAGGGCCAGGGAGCCCAGCTGCTCCAGCCAGCCTTCTTGAGGGAAGGGGCCAATTCTTCCAGTTCCACAAAGGTTTTCAAACAAACCTTCTTTTCAACTGCTGTTTCCATATCTGAGGGCCTCAAACTGTGTGGGAGAGGCTCAGTTGGAGGAGGGAGGCAAAACCTAGGCTGCTGTTTTCACCACAACATCCTAAAAAGTGGGCTCAGCTATGAAGAGTGTGTGGGTGATGCCTCATTCAAGATGGGAGGAGACTCAGGTGGGGACCTAAGAAATTGGAATGAGGGCCACACTGAGCTGTCTATAAACAACTTCAATGGATAAGTAATAAAGAAGGAAAAACTAGTAATAAAGAGCTCTTGGAAATAAAAATATTCTTTAATGAGTTATATTTTAATGTCATAGGAGAACTGCCATCAGTAAGAACATCTATTCAACAAATGTTCCCATGCTTACACCAACCATATTCCCAAATTTATTTTCCAAATTCATCAAGTTTTTCTTTTTTCCAATACTTTTTTTAGGTCATCTAAATACAACTAAAAGAATAAATGAAAAGAGCAAGTTCAGAACAGGGAGTATAATAAGCCCCTATTTGTGTAAAAAAAAAGAAGTGTATAAATAAACACACATACACAAAGTTAATATTGCACAGAACAATTCTGGAAGGATATTCAAAAAGTTGACAATGTCCATGAAAAAAGAACTGGTTAGCTATGTGCCAAGGTAAGAAGGGCATTAACTTCACTACTATTTTTAAAATTTTGTGTGCAGTTATTACACAAATAAATAAATTATTAAAAAGTCAAGTTCTAATAACATTTAAGTGTGTAACAAATTAGCTCTGAATATAAGTGACAATATTCACAGGAAGCCCAGTTTCAACCAGCCAGGCACATACTCCCTGTTAGACTGGCTACAAGAGAGAACTGACTGCTCATAGCTGGCTTTGGAACCAGATTAGGTCATCAATGAACGGCAGAGAGACGAGGCTGAGGGAAAAAAGCATGGCGTTTCAGTTAACCGCGGGGCTCAAATATCAGCCCTGTTACTCACAAAGTGGTTATCTCTTCAAGTTCCTTAACTTCTGTGCACTTTGGCTTCCTCATAAGCAATTATATAACTACTTTGCTGGACTGCTGGAGATTAAATGAAGATTACCTACGTAATTAATAAGGGTTTCTTAAGATAAATCAAAATACTTGGCAAATGCTCCATTCATTCCCTACTGCAGTTTATCAGGGGTTAGGGATGACATGAAAGCCTACCTATCAGTAATCATTTGTGAATGGTAGTTGGTTATGCATATTTTCAACATATTTTTCTAGTCTTATGATGCTCACTAGCTGTGAAAGCAAACTCTTAAAATGAAAACTTATGTTTAGGTTCCCAGATCATATTTATTCAATTCTTTCTGGCCGAAATAATCTTTTCCTCTTCTGAATGCTTATAAAAATTTATTCGTATGTCTTATTCTAACTGGTATTGTATTCGGTCTGGTATTATAGCCACTTATCCATGTACTTTTCCCCTTTTCTGGACAATACGCAAAACAAAACAGTACACCAACTATTTATCTTTTTTTTTTAAGCAACAGGTGAATTCCTCTACACCTAAATAGGGAAATGTGTATATGCATGGAAATGCAATCGTGTAATAAGACCATTCTCTGAATTTATATAGTACCTAGTGTGCTGTCTGTGTCCAAAATATAAATAAGCCCTCTTAAGATCCCCTCAAAATAAATTCATCTTCTTAGATGCAAATTTTGGGGTAGGACTTGACACAATGATGTTCTATGTAAGGTCAGATGTCTCTTTAAACAACAAAAAACTTATTGCTTAGGAGACTGCCACCTGCCTGGATATCATCACTTTTCCCTTCCTAATAATACTGTTCTGATTCTGTCTGGATAATAATGTGTGTTTAGCTTCACACCCCCTGCCCCGCCCCATGGCAGGGGGACACAATTCTGGTCAATGAGGTATAAACAGAAGTTCCTGGATGTGGATTTTAGGAAAGTTTTGGCAGTTCTTCCCACTAGCTAGCTAGAGGTAGACAGGCACACGGTTAAGATCCTAGGGGACAGAGACAGAAGAAACATGAGTTTCAGACGGCACCATGGTGTATGGGGGAAAAAACCCTCTCTAACCAGAGCCTGCGTGCGTGCATGCGTGCGTGCGTGCGTGCGTGCGTGTGTGTGTGTGTTACCTGCAGCCAAGTGGAATCCTGATATGAGAACTAATTCTCAATCTACCACTGTCAGGCTTGTTTAAGCCTCAGCAGGCATGAATTGCATCTCAAAGCAAGTTCTCTTACCAAATACAGTAAAAAGCATCTAGATTGTGCCTTATGGTTTGGTGGCCATGCTGGAATACACCGAATGGACAACAAAGGAATCACAGCTGAATTCCATCTGAAACTGAAGAGTCAGAAATGAAGACAAGTCCCCAGGTGTCTCACCAAAGCGAAGGTTAATTGGGGTGGGATTGAAGCAATCAAATATGATAAGAAGCAGCTCAGGAAAACACTCAGGCAATATTAAAAGCAGATATGTAAGTGGGTGTATTTAGACTGGTTTCCCAGACTCCTCATACCCTGTTATTGGCCTCAACCCTGACACTCCACCAGCTAAAGATCATGTGAACTGTTTTGTCCCGATTCTTGAAAGGACAGAATTATATGATGTTCTCTGTATAACTTCTAAGAAATGTGAGGACTGAATAGGCAATGACCACAATACAGGGACACAGCTGTACTGTCACCACTCAGTGTCCTGGGAAAGGGAGCTGGATGAGCACTGGCCTCTACTTAAGACCTGATCTACATATGCGGACTCTGGCTGCTCTGCTGGTGTGGGAAAGCCACAGGACAGGGAGGAGACTCAGCACCAGTCAGGAGGGTTGGCCTGGCCCCAGGCAAAGACTGGAAAGGCCCTCCCCTGGCCTCAGAGGGGTGCTCGTGGGTGGGAAGGAGGAATTTCTGATAGACAGAACACAGACTGCAACTTGGAAGGTTACAAGGAAGCAAGATCTGGGCTCTCCAACTAGAAAGATAATACTATGCAGAGATTAAATTCTGGAAGTTTTTTTTCTCCTAATTCCTTCCAGAAAAACACTCCTTTTAGCCTTCACTTAGGCTTATTGGTGATGGAGCAGAGTTGGTTGACTCTTTAATAAAGTAACTGTAAATTCCATTGTTGAGAATTAAGGGAGAGAAAGTAGCAAATGCTAATCTCTACTGTGCCCCTTGTACTCAGATCTCAGGGAAGCAGGCGTTTCTAGGTATCATGTGCCCGTG